GCCTCCATTATTTACACAGTAAAAGCTTACTGGCGATACAGATATATTTGAAAAAAAAAGAAGAAAATTACAGAATATGAAAAAATAAGCCCACATTTGTAAAATATTTATCTGATCACATTGTGTGTTGATATTTGCATCAAATGTCAATATATTGTCTTAAAAGTGCATTGACTAAGGTGTTGTGGGTAGTAAATGGTATGGACCAATGTTATACAATGTAGTGAACAGATTGCACAAAACAGCATAATTTTTCAGGAGAGGAAGTTTGTATGCTTCCTCACCTGCATGACCCGTTCATCACTGTGATCTACCGGAAGATGTTTTCAATTAGCCTAATAACTCCTAACTTGACAAGATAAGTATTTCAATAAACCATATTTTTTTGTATACTGTACGTAAAATAAAAAATTAAGAAAATAGAATGCAAGAATAAGAATTTGCATCAAAACACAGACAGAATGTGTACATGGAAGTACATTGAAAACTGCCATCACAATTTAAAAAATATAATATTTAGTTTTGAATTGTATCACTTATAATTTTTCAGCGGCAACAGTGGTTGAAGCTGAATATATTCATGAATAATATTCATGTGTAATGTAACACACTGTAGGAGCTGTGACTTCAATCATGATTGTCATTGTAAGTCCAGAAGTATTGTCAGCATAATATACTGTAGTTAGAGAATCCAAAGTAAAAGTATTTTATATAAATTACGATATAAAGTTGGTTACTGTGACGCTAATATTGTTTCTATTTCCTATACTGTTGGAAAATGTAACCTATAACAATTCATGATATTTTATAACTTATCATAAGTTTTGAACAGATAACTTCTTCTGCAAAGTAACTGGTAACTACACCTTTATTATTTTATTCAAAAGAATCATGACAAGACCCAATCAAGACTGTCCTATCTCACTTATCTCTGATTGGTTAGTAGGATGCCAGTGACCCTGACCGTCAACCAAGATAATAAAATGTCACATTTAAGATGCTTTGATCCCGACCTGGCTGGGTAGCTCTGCACAATCAAGATTTGGGAGTGGAAAATGTCACAAGTGATGATAGGGCTGCTTTTCTTGTGGCATCTGTTGACATTTGGAGCAGCGAAGGAGAAAGCTCCTTTCTGTCAGATCCTGGGGAGTCCAGAGTTCCCTCTGCTGTCTGAGGAGGGAGATGTCATGATTGGAGGAGCTTTTTCCATCCACAGCAAAATCACACAACCTCAACTTTCCTTTACAGAGAAACCATCACGTGTCACATGTTCCAGGTAATTTTGAGCTTTGTATAAAAATCTGTACTCAAGAGTTGTGTCACAGTCAGGTATAATTTTGCTCTTTTTTGTCTCAGTGTGAACCTTAGGGAGTTTCGATTTGCCCAGACCATGATCTTTGCAATCCAAGAAATAAACAAAAGCAAAGTTCTTCTTCCAAATGTTTCGATTGGATACCGTATTTATGACAACTGTGGCTCAACATTAACGTCAATGCGTGCTGCGATGGCCCTGATGAACGGTGATGAGTGGACTGTAGGAAAGAGCTGTTCGGGTCAATCAGCTGTTCACGCTATTATCGGGGAGTCTGAATCCTCTTCAACCATTGTGCTGTCACGCACTACTGGACCATTTAAAATACCTGTGGTAAGAGCAATGTTTGTGTAGCACTGTGTATATTACGTGCAAATTCTTCTTATTGGTTCTCTCTCTTTGTGTCTTCTCAGAAAAGTCATTCAGCTACCTGTGAGTGTTTGAGCAATAGGAAGGAGTATCCCTCTTTCTTTCGAACCATTGCCAGCGATCGCTACCAAAGTCGAGCTCTTGCCCAGATGGTCAAGCACTTTGGCTGGACCTGGGTCGGGGCAGTCAACAGTGACAGTGACTATGGCAACAACGGCATGGCCATCTTCCTTGCTGCAGCCCAGGAGGAAGGAGTGTGTGTG